CTACCGTTGATACTGTGGCTCAAAGCTAATGATGTGCAAGTGCACCTATTGCATAAACCTATCACATTTTACATAATTATTTAACTGGAGTGCAGTGTGACTTAGGTAATCGATCTCAACTTTTATTCGACACTGGAATTCATACACTACTGCCTTATGGTCATGTACGTTTTGCAAATCCCTCTTCGGAGAGTATTACACAAACACTTCCTATTTTTCGATATGGTAGACGAAACCTTGGGCAACATTCAGAGTTTTCAAACACCAGGGCCTTGTCACGCGACCTTCACTTAAGGGCTTGCCGGATGTGCAAAACCAATGAACATTAACATTTCCCAACGCAAAGTACATTTTTGAAAAGAAATGTACGCAGCCCCCAAAAAGATACAAAGAGAAAGTATTTTCCTACACTGAACTTAATTATACCATAATGTCAGGAGTGATATATATACCACATACATTTAGAGAAAATTGAAATTATGACTTCATGACTTATGAAAATTGTTGGCGATACATTTACTTGTGTTGACCATTACACTTCTTGTTCAACATAGACAAGATACTTATTTTCACCAGTTTAGTACAGGAATAATTTGAAGATTATCCATTTTCCCATTCAAATTTCAATAAATTTCTTCATTCAGTACACAACAGAGATGAAACTTTGCTTCATACATGGTAACTTGGAATAATACTGACTCGATGCGCTTCTCATAACAACCGATTCAGTGATTGTCCTTTCCCATCCAACAATGCCCTTCCCAGCCCTGCCCACCTCATTGTGACCCAAATTTCAATTGTAGGACAGACCTCATAAAAGGAATCCGGAACCCTCTTCAAATAACTTGCAAAAACCAATAGGTGCGTTCGTGTCGCTTGCGAGTGTAAAGCAAAGTTTACACGACAGCAAATGACAGGGCACACATCGCATTCGTGTTCATTAGCGTGTCCAGGTCTGTAGGGTCAAAAAGGAGTGGATTTTTTCTTTAAAAAAACGGCGAAAATATTTTCTTTCGTAAAAGAATGATCGAACACCCCCGAAAGGAGAAAATGCCGCTTTTAAACTGTTAACCCTTTCCCTTCCTTACAAAC